TTAAACCGTGAAAACGTAGTAAAGTTTAAACCACCGACATAGTGTGGACTTCTACATGGTGTTTCTAAATGAATATCGGGGTTTTAGTGCTTTGTCGTACTTATTACCTAAAACTTAAAATTATGTATAATCAATGCGTGAAATGAAAACGCAACTCAAACAGCTTACAAGTGTTCAATGCGAGCACCTTTCGTCACATGGCACACATCAAGTCGATAACCCACTTCTTCCCAAACATTGATTAGTGTTTGTGGTATAATTGTTGCAACAACTGCCTTAATTCTGTTTCTTAGGTCGCGTAGGACGGCTGGTAGTGGAGGCACATACACATGATCCTTTATGAACTCAACACTCTTGTTACTAACCCTTGGTTGTCCCGTATTCTTCCCTTTGCAAAGGCAGCTGGTGTTTTCAAACTGATGATACCATCTCCGGATGTTATTATTACTTGGGAGATCACATCTGAACTTAATCCTGAATGCATGTTGCACTGTAACTACAGATTCAGTCTCTGCAAACTGCAGGACACACAAACAGCACTTTATTTTTTTCTTCTTTACTGATTCCTTGCATGGAAAATTTGACTAGAGCATAATGCTTGCTTACTATACTGATAATACAACAGCAGTAACAGTAAGATCAATTCAACGAAATAATGCCATCAATGTTTTTCAAGACAGTGTTTTGGATATTGAAGAATAGGGTTGCAAATTCGGATTTGGATATTGAAGAATAGGGTTTCGCTACTATTGTATGCGCATGCGCCATTTCTGATTTTTGAACGTTTCAAATTTTTATTTTTTTAACCTTTTTTCTCATTTTTATAAATTTTTATGTTAATACTTTTTTTACTTTTTTCAAGTTTGTATTTTTGTTATATTGTTTAACAGTTTTTTACTTGCTTTTAAATATTTACCAATTTACATTCACTTTTTCTCCAAAAATAAACCTAGGTTTACATATAGTTCTTAGACTACGAACAATAAGTTGAAATTTGCTTGAATATTAACATAAGATCAATTCAGTTTACTGGCATTCGCGGATAATATTTTCTATAATATAAAATTGGCATAAAACCAATACATATTCATTCTACAGAATTTAGTTGGAATGTTACATAACTTACTTTTTACTCTACTTCTACTAAATCGGAGATACTCAGAACTTTCTCTTCTAATGTGTAATACAGGTTCTAAATAACATTTTGAACCACTTCGAAATTACTGGTGAGACTGGATGAATTTATCTGCTCCACTCTGCAACATATACGCTCTACTTTTCTGTTATGTAAGAAGTGGCGAAAGCTTTTGACCCCATATGGCATAAGGGACTAATCTAGAAATTCATCAACGAAGATTTTTCATACAAAATTTATTCTACTGCTAGACTCCTACGTTATTAAACATCTTATAAGATTTATCTCTTTTTTTCCACATACACTAATCTAGAGCTTACAAATGAACCTGGCGAATTCTCGCACAGGCGTGAAAGCACGAGCACAGAAGAAGGGTGAAAATAATCCCTTATTTATTGCCAACTAATAACAGAAAGGCACGTACTTCGTGCTTTACAATAGAAAGGCACGTACATCGTGCTTTACAATAACAAAGACAAACATTATATCATAAATCAATTCAAGTCTAAATAGAATATTGTTGAATTAGCACGTTAAGCTACGGCTAACTTAAGTTGACTCAATAAACCTAACAGGCGTGACAATTATTCGAAATGGCCAAGGGGCGTAATAGTGTGACAGCAAGATCAGCAACGAAACGTGCGCTGGCTAACAGAAACGCGCTCTGAATAAACTCCAAGATTCATCCGTTTTAATACTCACTTCACTTAACTCTAAATTTACATCCTGGTAAGGAAATGCGAGGGGAAGTTTAGGAGTTTAGGAAAGATAACAAAAATTTGAAAAGATTAGTAGCTAAAGGAAACCCTACAATCTTATAGGCAAATTGTTGCAGGGGGGCAAGGCTCGTGCCTTAGCTCAGCACTTTATTTTTTCTTCTTTACTGATTCCTTGCATGGAAAATTTGACTAGAGCATAATGCTTGCTTACTATACTGATAATACAACAGCAGTAACAGTAAGATCAATTCAACGAAATAATGCCATCAATGTTTTTCAAGACAGTGTTTTGGATATTGAAGAATAGGGTTGCAAATGAAAATCTCCATTAATACTTTCAAATCTAAACTGCTCAGGATTAGACTCCCAGTATTACCATGCGGTCCATTTATCGCTTTAGTGAACAAGTGTCAAGAATGGCTAAAATAAGTTATCTTAGGGATTGGATTACTTGAATCAACATCTTACCTGGAGCATTCATGTAAATTTTACAGCAGGTAAAGTCTAGCCACCTTCAAGTTTTACTGGGCTATTTCCAGCCACCTTCAAGTTTTACTGGGCTATTTCCAGCCACCTTCAAGTCTTACTGAGGAGGAATCATGGGCTTAGCCTCAATATGAAATAGCAGTTTTACCTTATAGTTATAATTTCGATTACATGATATTTATCGCCTTCTTGGGTTACATCATCTTGACCTGATGTTCCCCACTGTACGAAAAATAGTCTACGAATTATTACTTGTGCTTTTATTTTCTATATAACTACCCCAAAATGAAATTTATTGCAGAATATCTGCAAAAGGTATAAAGCCAAGTTTTTCACCAAAGGGCTCGATTGTCACAAGGAGAACGTATCTTTAACGATATGAATGTACCACAATATTCTACAATTAGGCCTTTTGCAGCACATAGATTGAGAGATCATAATTTCGAAACCTATTTACTGATTGATCTTTCTCTTCATATTCTGTGTAACGTTTTTCCTTTGTACGTAATTTTTCGCTTGCATTTGTCAAATTTATTTTTGTAGTTAATCTCTTACTTTTTCACCTCTCTTTATTAGGTATTTGTAGCCATTTAATTGCATAGATAACGCATCGATTATACGCGATTGCATCTGTTTAGAATTACTACCCCTTTTTTCCACCAGACAGTATGCTGTCTGAGTTTTTCCTTCTATGTTTCACTATTTTGAAGATATTTATTCTTGATACTTTGATCTTCCTTCCCATTTTTTCTGACTGCCTTGTGTTCCTTCCTTAGTTTTCTCTGACCGGATTTTACGTGATGTGTCATGCTGCATTACTATCAAAACTTACAGTGGCCGAAACTCTCTTCCCTTAAATATAAGCATTTGTATTCGTATTCTTCCGTGATTTCATTCTAGAAAATGATATTCACATCCGTATGGTTACTGTAATGCATTGCCACGCCTAGTGATGAAATGAAATTAATGTACTGCCTTTCCGAGCCTTGTGACAAGCTTCGACACAGAGCTTTTGATCTAAGTAAACCATAAATTTTCCTCTTGTTTAATCTCTCAGGACAACAGCAAAGTTTACGAGATTGTAATTATCTCAGTCTCTCTTCCAAGCTATGGAGACGTTTTCTTCCCTGCAGAGTACAACCCTCCAGATAACAGACATGCTGGAATTGTCCTCTCCTACATAATGCCTGAAAGCATGCCTAGCATTTTTGGTAAATCCAAAGCACACTGATTGGATTTGTAGAAATAGTAATTTAAACTGCAGGCCTTACCAGAGTTCATCCTCAATTATCCCATCTTAATCTATGGGCCTGAGGAAACTATACGCAGACAATTTCACCCAGGAAGACAACCTGGCATTCTCGACTTAATACTTACTAACTCTGGCTAAGGCCCGACTTAGCCTAATTGGTGCCCGGGGCAAAGACTTCTTTGGTTGTCTCCTCTGCTTCACTACTTCAGTAATGAAGACCCGAATTTTATGGAGGCATTTAAATTTTTATAATAATAAACTTTCTATTCAATTTGGGCCTCCCTCTGATGTGGGGGCCTGGGGCAACTGTCCCGTATGCCCCTGCCTTAGTCAGGCTCTGGCACCTCTATGACAATAAGTACTATGCATGTGATTACTTCGGACCACATCCCAATGACAGCTGCACTGCGTATCTTAAAAATCAAATCGCCTAAAGTCTCATTCCATGCACATTCGCTGTATCCTCAGGAAAAACCCTCCTAAAAGCAAAGGTCTCAAATCACTTTGATATTGACATAATAATTGATGGATTTACCATGCGCTTAAACGACGCTTATTAAGAAGCCACCAACAATGTTACTGTAAAACATTCTGTAGGAAAACTCTCCAAAAACATAAGGCAACTAATTACACTAAGGAACCGGCTACGTAGCACATGGCAACCGGCAATTAAAACAGAATCAAATCGCGTTAGAGAGAAGATTAAAAAGAAACTAAGACATTCCGTACTGAAAAATAGGGAAAAAAATTTATAGAGCTAAACGTTGGATCCATCTGGAAATTTCTAAGCTCTCTTAAAAACAAACGCAAGTGTAATCAGTCTAGCTTCCTAACTTGATTTTAAACTGTTGCTAAACTAGGAAACCGTTCTCCTTCCTCTTTGGCTGTGCCGCATATTTAAAGGATCTTCAAAGCGCTACACTCCTGATCAGAAGGGTCTTTTTTTTTTTTTTTTTTTTTTTTTTTTTTTTTTTTAGCTCTGCTTTTCCCTTTGATGAGAAAAAAATGTTGAGGAATGCTCAGTTACTGGAACGAAGCATCCCGTTTCTTTTTTAATCATTCACGTTAGGTAAGTATTTCTAACAGAATATCAGGGGCGTATTAATAGGTAATAGGTCACACGGACTTCTTCATTATTTTCCCCATTGTTTATTGCATGGTAGAATGCATTCATGATTAGTTTCTTTGCGCTTTTCTTTCATCTTCGCTATCTCACTCAGCCCCACGACTATTTTTTTAAATATTTTCTGAACCTGCTTCTTTTACTTACTTCCTTTTTTTATTTTTATTTTTTTAAATTTTTTTAATATTATTATTATTATTAACTCCTTTCCCTTATGACTTCTGACATCACCGGAAATTCTGCTCTACATCAGTTCAAAATATCTGGCAACAATTTAATGGAAAAAAGGAAGTTGTTTTGAAATTGAACCGCGTGCGTCTGTGAACATAGCATAGGTGGAATGATAGAACTCTGCGTAATATACTGAAACAAGGAGAGATTTACTATTTCAGCTTTGTATAATTTGCATTAAAAGACTGTGGATATGATAACAGTAGGAAGTACGGAAAGGCCATTATGCCTAGGTATGTTTAATTCTGCTGTGAAAGTGTGGCATTTATTTCTCTTGTGCATACCTTTATGTTTAGTTTGTTTATATTACTTTTTTTTTAAGTGCTGAACTTCTTACGTACTGTCGCTCGATATGAAATGCATTCTGTTGATGATTTAAGTTTAAAAACATACTTATGCTTAATTGAAATACAATATAATAAAGTAAAAAAAGGTGAAATTTAATATTTATAATCTTATGCATGAGCTAGTGTTGAGTCATTGGTTCATAGTTTTTAATATTCGTACGCAATAAAGTAGCCTAAGGTCTGTATCCGAACCCCAAAAAAGTTAAGTATGCAATATTTTTATAATTGGTTATGTTTTTAAATTGAAATATTTTATTTTACGTTGCACTTACAGTTAGAATAAACTTTGTAATAAAATATTACACAAATGCATTCAGTTACACGAATGAATTGCACTGGATACTAAACATGAAGTGTATGGAAGAGAGACATACCAAATGTAAAACTGGGAAAGCATCTAACTTTAAGGTTTCGTAGGAAATCGCTTCCAATCCAAGTTTGAATTTTTGTTTGTTTCTATATTAAACATGCAAGTTATTTCTCCTATAAACTGCAATCATGTAAAGTTAAGAAACATGGCAAGTTTTGGATTATGTCTCTAATACTTACATATACCCATTATAATTTAATAATCACCTGTGAAGTACTTTTAAGAAAGGTGATGGAATTAATTAGATAAATTAATAAAGATTAAGTATTGAATTCTTTCAGTATGAATTTTATGTATTAACTGTGCATACTTATGTATTATTGCAACTACCATAGTAGAAGTGGCCAGATTTTCAGAATGTGCCAAACTTGAGCAATCATCTGCATAACCATTTTTTAGGCATCCATGCTCGTAACAATCCTTTAATCAATCAACATTGCCTTTTTCATATGTATTTTTTTTTTTTTTTTTTTTTTTTTGGTGTGTGTGTGTGTGTGTAATCATGTTAAACTAATTTTATTTTAAATAAATTTCTTCCAGTGGGCTTTCCTTTCACTAATTTGGAAAACATTAATGGTATGAAGTTTAAACTTCATAAAGATTCTAAAAGCTCCACAGTTAAAAAGCCAGAAAGGATATTGGCAAGTAATTTTTTTCTAATATAAATTTTGATAAAATAAGATGATTTACTGGTATTCCATATATTTAAGAATGTTGACTTCTTGAAGAAATTTTTTACTTCTGAGGTGTGTCAATACAGTAAAATTAAGAGTACTACTAGTACTAAAATTTTATTTTTATGGATAAAATCTTAGTCTGAAGTCTTATTCAAAAGCTGGTAATGTCATTATATATGATATATTATATATATATTTGATAAATGTACTTTAAAAAATATTATGAAGCTATACAACAACAAAACAAAAAAAAAGTTTTGAAAGTAAATTTCATATTTTTTAGTATTCATTTGTTGGTCTAATATTTTAATAAAATAATTCAGTTTCAATATCTAAATTCATATTTAACCAACCCAGTCAAGACTTAAATCAGTTTTTAACCTTGCATTACCATCAAATTTGCTTGACATCTGGAATGTGAGAAATTTCATTTTCACCATTTATCCCCATAACTGCCTATGAATTTTGCCTTTTTTCTGTGATAAAATTTCTATATAAGATATAGTGCGTTTAAGTTTTAGTATGTTTTAAATCATTAATGAAGTTTTTGTTCAATAAAATAATGTAAACATTGGCAAAATTCTTATTTTATTTTGAAGTCAAACATGTGACTTTTGGTTAACGTGATAATTTCTGCATTCAAGGTTTGTGTTTATTACTGTATATTAATTTATTCAAAAACAAGATTATTATTTTTTGCCTCAAAATAGATTACTAAAATACTAACAAATGTATGTATCAACTGGAGTTCCTCCCCCCCCCCCGTCTTTATATATTGTATCTGACATAGCATTCTCATTATATTTATCTGAAACTAGAATTTTTCTAAAGGTTTACTTGGAATATTTTATAGAAAAAATATATTAAAAATTAAGGAAACTGAAAATTCTCTAATGTCGCACTTAAATAAGGTAATATTTATAAAACAGTATGTTAATTAAAGTGTTGGTGTAAAACTACATATTATATTTTATATTACTGTTAAATTACATGCATTAACTACTTAATGTTACCGTAAAAAGATTTTTACATCACAGTCACACTAAATAAGAGTAAAATTGCGTGTTTAACCCTCTAAAGGCCCGTCCACACGAGTACGCTCGAAACGTAGTTGACAAACGCGCTTTTACGTTACCAGCGTAAAAGCGTCCAAACGAGTACGCTTGCGAAGAGTGCGTTTAACCAATAGAATTATTTTGCGCAAAAATCACGTGACGCTGTAATATAGCGTCAACAGAGCTGTATCTTATTACTTCGCTGTTCTTCTGTATGTTTGCGGCAAGTTGTCCGAATCAGATCATTTTTTTTATAGCTGAAACTTTACTATTAAGTGCAATTGTTAAGCAGAGGCAAAACCGCAAAAAATGGCAAGAATGGGTCCGAAAGATTTATTTAGAGCGACCTGTTCAAAAGGTTTTTTTTTTTACTGCCTTGTTTGCAAAAGGAATATCCCGAATTATTAAATTCCTACTATTAGCTCACACTCTCCCTATCTTGTTCAAATTTTCAGTACATAAAATGCTTTTTATTTATCCACTCAAGTTCAAATACAATTTTTTAAACTTGTAGTGAATGACACTTGATGTTAATACAGCTTTTTTACATATTAAAACTTTTAATTTAAAAAAAATTCTGTTTGTATTTTTATTTATTTATTTATTTATTTATTTTTGTATTTTAAATTTTTTTCTTTGTGGACCTAAGTAGGAATTGACTTAATTTTTTTGGGGGGTATATTACTTGTTTTTTAATTCCTTCAGGATGAGTAATTGACCAGTTTGACAGACTTACAGATTCCATATCGTATGAAAATTAGGATTTATAAAATTGGTTTGGAATACAGTATATAAAAAGAATTAAATTACTTAATTCTTTTTATATACACCATCCACCATATAATACGCGAACGGGCTGGCTGCATGGGCGTTTTCGTGGTTTTCCCCATGTGTAACGTGTATACGAGCCAGTTTCCCTTAGAAAGTCCTCCACGAAAGGCATCCCTCCCCTTAGGCAGATAGCCCTAGTGTGCTTTGCCATAATTAAATACACCACCACCACCATATAATAAAACCAACTTCATATTTTTTTAACTCCTTCTTCCTTAGTCTTTTGTTTTTCTTTTTATTTATTTTTGAATTTAGAATTTTAGGTTCAAACTTTGGACAGTTTATGAGAAATTGTGTGCATGATAAAATATGCAATAAAGTAAAAATAAAGAGAGAATTTATAGATGATGTATGATAAAGAGATGCAGATATATTATTACATAAGGATTTCTATTTGCACTGCACATTTTTAAACTAAATTAAAAACAATAATAATAATGAATAAAATAAGAAATGAAAACAATAATAATAGGTAAAATAAGAATACAATGATTCATGATTAAATATAAGAAACACGTTTCAAAATGAGAAAAGCTAACTGAATTATATACTGTCTACGGGTGAGGTTCAAACTCGCCACCAAAGCAGCGCGCTGACCACTCAGCTATCTGTGATAGCAGTGTTTGTGAAAAATAATGTAACAAGTAGAAGTCACTGCAAAGGTAATTTAATTAAACTTCAATAAATGATTGCTGTATGACACAAGTTTAACTTTACTCCAAAATTTCGTAATTGTATTTTAGTGAATACTCTTTCACAGTCAACTGCTTTATTTTAGAAGTTGTTATATTGCTGAAGTTAGTTTTTGGTGTATTTAATATTGGGATATTTATAGAGCTTTTTATTGCACATGATGTAGCCAATATTTATAATAATTAAGGAGAATTTTGTAAGGCAGAAACTTTGATTTCGTAGAAACTGTAATTTATTTACGTTCCTATTACTTACGGTGTTAAAAATAGGTGAAGCATATGGATAATATACTGGTCGGATCATTGCTTTATAAATATACAGTTTTCCCCTTTAATGAGAATTTTAAATGTATACCAATATGTACGGTTTGAGAAATCTGAAGATGGCGTGAACAATGCTGATTATTTTATTGCTGTATACAGTTATATTTCTAAGCAAAAACTCATCTCTGTGTGGTTCTGACGTCGTATTGAAACGGGTAAGCAAAAATGTTTTTTGATTATGACACGTGATAAGAACTCAGTCGGCTATTGGCTGTTACGTTCATGTTATGGCGGGGGAAAAGCTGAACAGGGGCGTACTCAGTTTTACGTCTTCTGCGTCACGTGAATTTACGCCGGCGTCAAAAAAGTTATGTCTACTACGCCGGAAGCGTCCTTGTGTGGAAGGGCTTTAAGCCAACGTTCGTATGGTCCTTAAAAGTCCTTAATTTTTTCAAAAATGATTTTTGGTCCTTAAAAGTCCTTAATTTTGTTCAAAATGAATAAACGGTCCTTAATTTTGCTCATTTGACATTTCTTATCATTTCTAATGATTGCCGTTCTAAGTGTGAGTTGCGATTTATCATGAATATGAATTAAAATTACACCAGCTCTTAACCAATCTGTTGGCGGATTTGTGTTGCAAACGATAAAAAATTAATTAGCTACCCTAGAATGAAAGTATCGGGTGTCTGATTGGCTATTCACCCAATGTCTTTTCGAAACAGGTGTTATCCATAAATTTAGGCAGATTGTGACGAAAGCGTGAAGCCGGAAGTTCTTTAAGAGGCGAAAGTGATGATGAAGGTGCTCGAGGAAAAAAAAAAAGAGTGGGGGGATTCTGAAAATATTTGCCAAAATTAGAACAATTCGTAACCTGGAAGGCCACAACCCCTCCGACGCATCAATAGGAATGAGATGCCTGGAAAGTTGCATTTTCAATAAACTGTGGCTTCATCAAATGACTAGAAAGACTGGATATTGATGGATGACAATCCTTATAAAAGCTAAATGTGGTCTTTGTCTGAAACAAATTGAAATTTCTAGAATGGGAGAGTCAGCGCTGAAAATTCACATGAATTTTCAAGCTAAGTTTAAGCTTTTCGTTTTATCATTTCAATTTGTTTTTACACGGTTTTTTGCTTAGCTTAATTTCTGTGTTTGTTTGAATTAAGCCATAAATTAATTTTTATTCACCTTCTACGGAGTTTATTCTCTTTTTATTTTCTTATTTATTTTTTTATTTATTTTTTTTGCACATATATGTATGGGATATTGGAATTATGAGTTTATTTCTGCAGAGGGTCTGTTATCGATTTCGCGGGAAATCTGTTGGCTCCATTTCGATTTTAGGTTGCCAAGGGCAAATTTGGTAATGCTAGCCAAAAAAAAGGGAAGTTCGGAAATACGTTTTGAAGCTTCAATAGACAATTAAGTATTTGGTTTAATTCTATGCGCAAGGTATCCGTTACATAAGGGATTTAGCTACTTTTGGCGACTTTATCATGAGCATTAAATGGGACATATACGATGGGTAGTTAAATGGGTCATTTTGGTGTTGGCGATAATTTTCAAAATTGCGTCAAGGCTGCACCATACTAGAATTTTACCAAGTATTTTTACAAAAGGAATACTGCTTTCAGAAGAATGTTATTGAATTTTAATATCACATCAGTTATCCAAATAGTTGGTCGATATAAAATTTCATTGTGATAATGATTGAAATTATCTTTTGTTATTAAGCTAATTTCACATATTTATAACTAGAAATTAAAATAAAAGCTAAATCCTGAATAAAAAGTCAGTGTTGAAATGATAAAGAAAAAAATAAAAGAAACGGAAGATTAATAAATTAAAAGAAAATGACCGATAAGCGGAATGGTTGCTACATGGAGAAAACGTGTTCATGGTATTGCCAATATCGCATTCTTATGGCAATTTTAGCGATGTAATGGAATCTCTGCAGGAATGCTTGCCTAGAATATTTCGCGATGTCGCAATTTTTTATCAATATAGTACATTTTTTAAGTGTTAAAATATAATGTGTAAGAAAAAGTCATACATTTTTGTTTAACAATAAAACCAATTATTGCATAATTTTTATCTTTGCTCCATCATCTGATAG